TGTACTACTGATAATATAGTACTGCTACTGCAGTACTGACACATACTGCAGTACGAGTACAGACAGACGGATTCTTACCTACAGAAACACTGGGGAATCTCCCCAAGTCCATACACGGGAAACAGGAATGGTGTGTTGCCGTAGCGACCCAGGCAGCGCAGGAAGTGACGTGTGGAGGCGAGCCCCTCCTCTGTGGGCGTGTCCTCTGTTGCCATGGCGATGGAGTGAAGCAGGAAGTGCTGCAGGTTGTCGCTCAGCTGCTGGTCACACAGGAACTCTAAATATGGCCGACCGTTGTAGGCTGGAAAGAAGAGGACAAATGGGACTTCAGTACCCACAATCCCCTGAGGAACATCCTGGTAATGTCAGCAGGTGGACAGGTGACGTGTTCACCTTGATGCTCCTCCGTCTCCTCCACACAAGACGTCAGGAAACGCATCAGCTTCCTCTTTTCCACCACAGACAGCTGACGGCTCGCAAACACATCAGCTCTGCTGCAGGGCACCTGAGAGACAGGTAGACAGGTAGGTAGACAGGTAGATAGACAGATAGACAGGTAGACAGATAGACAGGTAGATAGACAGATAGACAGGTAGACAGATAGACAGGTAGATAGACAGATAGACAGGTACATAGACAGGTAGACAGACAAGTCGACAGACAGGTAGACAGACAGACAGGTCGACAGACAGGCAGGTAGACAGACAGGTAGATAGACAGACAGGTAGACAGACAGACAGACCTGCTCCACGTTGCCGTGGCGATATGTGAGTATCCTGGTGACGTTCTTGAACTCTGCGTAGCGACTGACGTTTGATTTGATGAGCAGATCGACCAATGAGCCTCGAGAATACATGAGCTGCAGGAGGAGGAGGAGTCAGTTTACCAGCCAATCAGATATCAGTGGGACACAGTGAGCGATGTGATTGGCTGAGGCGTCTCCATGACGTCTCCAGTGACGATCAGTTGTTTATGATACTGACTTTGATAAATCAACTTTTCTTTTAACCAAGTGATGAAATTGTTAGTGATAATTGACGTGTTTCTGTTGTATGACGTCACACACTGCTGATACATCCCATAATGCTCTGTGGCGCTGTACTGCTGAGTCAGTGCTTTTATCGTGCTGTACTCAGTGATCGTATCAGATCCATATGTCAGGATGCTGTTGTAAATATGTGATGATGTCATCGTATACATAGATAAACACTTTATACTATGAACACTGCGTTACCTTGGAGACGAGGTCAATATTGAACCTGCGTCCTTCCTTCACCAGCTGAGCGTAGCTGATTTTCTTCCTGGTTGGCTCTGATTGGCTGGCAGCAGGAGAGAGGTGTGGCTGATCTGCCTCTGGCTCCTCCCCCTCTGCCTGTGTGGCCTATGATTGTACAAACATGGAGTGATTATTGATCACTGAGCGCTGAGCAGAAGCTGGTGTGCTGAAGGTCTTCCTCACCTGCTGCTCTTCTGCTGCTTCCTGGTTTGTTTCTTCATCTTTTGAATCTTGAATCAGAACAAAACGGGTTCCTCAAAAACATTTCCTGCTGTCGAAGAATCAGAATTTAATATTTGATCAGAGACGAACCTGAAGATTCGGTTTCTGACGTTTCCTTCACAGCGTCTTCATCGGCGGCTTCTGACTCTTCTTCTGTGGTGTTCGGAGCATCAGGACGCTGAGCTTCCTCCTCCTCGTCTTCTTCACTGAGAACATGAGGAACTTGTTCATCTCTGTTCCTGTGTTGCGCTGCAGCACACTGAGGAGAGCATGACGTGCAGGTAAACAGGAAGAGGAACGTGGTCGGACCTTACCTGGTGTAGCAGAACACCTGCAGGTTACTGATGGAGGCGGAGTCTGAGCTGGACAGGTAGATCAGCTCCTCTCCTTCCTCCAACAGACTCGACCAATCCTGCGCCTCCTCTGGCGGAGACTCCTCCTACCAACACACACACAGGTGAGTGAGGCTGCCTTACCTGTCTGGCAGCATGTGATCAGGTGGAGCTCACCTGGTGCTGCTGGATCCAGGTGAGCAGGCCGTTGAAGGTGAAGCTGGCCCAGTTGGCAGCATAGTAACTTCTCCTGAGAACACACAGCGGCACAGAACTTTGGCAACAATCAAGACGTACTGATCAATGCATTTATGAACTCTGAGCACTGATCAAACAATTAATCAATCAATCAATACACACAGCAGAGAACACGTTCAGCTCTTTATTAACTGTGAACTTTACCGACTCTGGTGAAGAAACGCTGTCACTGGCATAAAACATAAACATGTGACTATCAGCTGATCACACACTGATGATCAATAACAGCTATTGATTATCAGACAGCAGGATGAGAGCCGACCTGTCAACATGAAGAACTCGTTGTCCGACTCGGGAGCAGGCCGCTGCCACCACTGACTCGGCAAGACCTGAACACAATCAGTAATCAGTAGTTAATAACCAATAGCAGGATCAATAACAGCTGTCCTCTGTGAGTTCCGTGCTCAGTTTGTCAGCCAATGAGAACACGACCAATGGTCACATGACACAAACACTGTCAGCGGTTGGAGGACGACGTTCGGCTGCTGCAGCTTCAATAATGAGATCAATGATCAGTTAATCACTGATTAGTTCATGATAATCAATTATCAGTTAATCCATGAGCTGATCAGTCACACTGTCAGAACCAGAACCTCAGACTGGGAGAACATAACAGGAGGCGTGGAGCTAGCAGAGCTGCCGTTAGCTCCAGGCTAATGCTATGAGCAGCTCATACTCAGGATATAAAAAGCTAACGGCGCAAACCTAGCATGTCGCCTCCAAGCAGCAGCTTGGAAGCTTCATATACCACAGTGTAGCTGCTGTTAGCCTCTGCCAACATTAGCAGACACTGGCAGCAGCTGGATCTCTGCTGTACGCTAACCCGTTAGCTACTAGCCGCTGCCGCTGAAAAAGCATTGACCGTTAGCCGCGAGCTAACGACCAGGCTAACACCAGCGCGTTCCACCGTTTGGACCGATTTCTACCGGGATTCCGAGTAGCTTTGGACCAAGCCGGAGTCCCACCGAACAGGGACACATTCAGAAACACGAACCGGGTCAGAACAAGCGATCAGAAGCAGGTGTTTGTGTACCTGTGCCCAGAATGACGACGTCAAATTCAGACGGCAGGTCCTCGGCAGCCATGTTGTCAGCGGAGATACGGAGTCACGTGACTGAGAGAGTTTTGCTCCTCTATCAATAGCTGATCGATAAATAATTACCATGATCAGAGATCACATTAGTGACGTCAGCACACACCTGCAGCGGACCAGACCCCGGTCAGAACAACTCGGGTTCTGGATGTGACTTGCTGTCGGGTTGGACGCTGCAGCGCCACCAGCCGGCGGCCGCTGCTCCTCCGACCATCTGCTGCTGGCTGCACATCAGTGGAGAACCTGGCAGAACCTCACAGCACCACAGAAGAAGAAGCATCGCCTCAGTGATCAGAAGCCCGGCAGTCGTCTGATGATCAGAACCGTCTGCAGCTCATCTCCACAGGACTCCAGTGCTCAGTGCGGGTACTCGAGTACTCGAGTACTGGACTCAGCCCAGACTCAGGGCGCTGGAGCCGAGTGTCTCCGTGTTCTGCTGTCACGGAGTGTGCTCAGTTTAAGTTTCTTCTTCTCACTGGGTCTGGAGGTTCTCAGATGTTCTCGTGGTGGAACCCAGAGGTCCGAACAAAACCTTTGAACTCATCTTCTGGTTTATTCTACTGGTTCTGGTTGAATCTCTTCTGGACTCTGATTTACACTTTTATTGACATGTTGGGTTTGATTCTGATGGTTCTGGAAATGTTTCTCTTTATTGTCTCTTTATTTTCTTCAGCTGATCAGTGACGTTAACGGAGTGTCATGAAAGCTGTGCACGTGAAAACCAGGCGTGTGCACGTGATCAGGGCTCCATCGGTTCCCTTCATTCGTTTGTTTGTGTGATTGATGCGACACTTTGGACTTGTTGAGTCTGGTTCCCCAAAGAAGAACTAGAATCCATCAACATCCTCCGAGACGCTCTGAAGGCTGAGAGTCTCCACAGAAGAACCAATCAGTGGAAACAAAGATCTCCATCACTGATCGTCTTTACTGAGAGGCTGCTGCCGTGAGTCTGAAGGCTGGAGATCGTCTGAGTTTCAACCGTCATCACTGACCAACAGGACACTTCGGTCCTCATCATTTCATGTCACGTGTCATCTGGAGAGGAAATCTCAAAGTCCAAAAGATCTGGACGCCAAAGTTGAAAAAAAAAACTGTTTTTAAATACACCTGAGTGTCAAAAATCGAGATATTAATGCATCAAAGTCCTGAAGACCTGGTTTTTATGTAGATGTTAGTGCACTAAGTGTCCAAACCTGGATATAGAAGCACCCCCCGGTGACTGACCCACCAGGACCTGGACAGACTGAGCTCAAAACCCACCAGAAGCCTTCTGTGGTGCTTTNTAGTTTAATATACTGCTAGTTAACTGTACTTATTGTTAGCTACACTGCTAGTTAACTGTGCTGCTAGTTACCGGGGCGATGCTTACCTGCTGCTCGGAGTCGCTGAGCAGAACAGAGGAGTCGGTTATCAGGACGGCTCTGCTGACAAACCTGCAAACACAAAAACAACAGAAAACAAACACCTGAGCGACTGCAGGTAACTTTCATTTGTCCATCAGACCGAACAGCTTCCAGGAAGCTCAGTGTTTGGCGATGGTTGCTAGGATACCGCCAGGGCTTCATGGCTGCTACGGTGCCAGGACACTGTTCCTGGGTTGTTGTTGTTGTTGCTTGATGGTTGCCAGGAAACCAGGAAAGTGTTTCTTGGTGGTTGCTGTGGTGTGACTGAATGGTTGCTAGGGAGTGTGAGGTCATTGGTGATTGGTGGTTCTGACCTGGGGGGCGTGGCCACCCTCTTCCTGTCCGACTGCACGTAGCCATCCTCCAACACTACATGGCTGCAGCTGATTCGCTGTCCCCGGCTGTCAATCACCGCCTTACACCTGAAACAACCAGCGAAGCGTCTGAGTGAAGATAAAGCAACGACCAGGTTTCTGAATGTTTGAATGAGAATTTGTCACATAATTATGAAACCAAAGACAAACTGCTCAGTTTTTCAAGAAAGATCTTCATTTGGTCTCGTTGAATACTCATGTTTGAACGAAGCTGTTCGTTAACCCTCAGACCTGAACCGGAGCAGCAGACAACAGATGGAACCGAGTCAAAAATAACATTTAATAAAGGTCCATATGTGAATTAAATGATAGAAAGGAACGAACAAAAGTCATGAAGTTTTCTAAAATCACCACAAGAAACATGAAGCTGCTGAAGAAAATATTTCAGTTCTTCTGTGAATGAAACGTTTTTAATTTATCGTTTGAATTAATGAACACAAACTGCTGTTCCTTAATACTAACAAATACAAATTTCAGAAGTGAATTTCAGGCTTCAGGGACAGAAGCAGCCAGTGAACTTTCCTCCTGCAGCTGATTAAACCGATAATGGCGTGAATCAGAGCTGCTTCGACTGAGACTTGGATATGAAATGATGGATCCTCTGAGCTGCTCCTCAGGGTTCCTCTGCACACCGAGCCGCTCCAGGCTATTATTGGGAATAATGATGCGCACAGAAGCTCATCCATAACCTCCAACACACACATTTAAAATAGATATGAATATACGGGGGCGCTGTGCTCGAAGGTCACACAATATAATCGATTATAGGAACAGCAGAGATGCAGCTTCAGCTCCGGTTTTCTTTTGTTGTCTCTCAGTCAAACCACAAGACAAAATAAAACCATCAGAACTCAAGAAAATCAACCAGCAACTGACGGTTTCAGCTTCTCAGCATTTCAAATCGCTGCAATTTGAATAAAAGACGAAATCAAACTAAAAATACGATTACAAAAATTAAACAAGCAACTGGTCAACAAAAATCTCTGTTTGATTTCTGCAAATCTAAACTATTTGAAGCAGAAACCTGAGAGCCTCCTTTAAACAGGACCTCAGGAGCCTGTTGGCTGCAGGAGGCTAATGCTAATATGCCAAAGCTAAAACACTAAAGCTAACAGAGTAATGCTAAGAGGCAAATACTAACAGGCTAATTCTAACAGGTTAATGCTTACAGGCGAAGCGAGCAGGCCAAAAGGCTAATGCTAACACCCAATGCTAAAACACAAATGCTAACAAGCCAATGCTAAGAGGCAAACACGAACAGACTAATGCTAAGAAGCTAATCCTAACAGGCTAATACCGACAGGTTCATGCTTACAGGCGAAGACTAGCTGGTCAGTTCTAAGAGGCTAATGCTAACAGGCTATGCTAACAGACTGGGGATCAGCGGCTCATTTTATCCACAAATTGAATATTTTATTTTTTACTGACCACATAAAGTATCGCCCAGTCACAACTCAAAAAGTCACAGTCTTGGTTGTCATGGCGTCATGTGCAGCCAATCACAGCCTCCGTCAGTGCAGTGTAAACACAGAAGGAGTAAACAGGAAGTGTACCTGTTGGAGGGCGTGTCCAGCAGCAGGCAGAGCAGCGAATGTCTCAGACAGTAGATTCCTCCAAACACAGCACACATCCTGGAACAGGTGAGCACACGTCAGCCAATCAGCAGTGAGCACCTGCCTCACCTGCTTTGAGCTGAAAGTACGTGAAGGTCATGACTGACAGGTGTCTCAGCCAATCACAGCCCAGGGTTCTGTCTCCTCCCGTTAAAGCCCTGCAGCCCTGTGGAAGCAGAACACGACGACGAAGGAGACAGAACTCAGACGTCCTCTGTCACAGTGATGGAGATCAGATGTTGTTTCCAGAAAACCTTCAACAAACCTGCTACGAACGCAGACTGGAGATCCTGAACATCTACATCTTCACAGCATCGACGAGAGCTTTCACTCAGAACTGGGATTTATTATCTATAAAAAGGCACGTTTCCTCCGAGGAAGCTTCTGGTTCTACAGGACCAGGACCAGGAGGAGGAAGCTTCTGGTTCTACAGGACCAGGACCAGGAGGAGGAAGCTTCTGGTTCTACAGGACCAGGACCAGGAGGAGGGAGGTTCTGGTTCTACA